TTTTTTTTTTAAAAAAAAAAATCAAGATACATAACATAGCATTAAGAAAATTCAATTGCACTACAGTACACTGGTCGCGGAGAGGCTCGAAAGAAGACAATTGACGGATTCTATCATTACCACCCAAACCAAACCTGCCCACTCCCTCAGCAAGCCCTTTTCTCCAACAGCCCGCGGGGTACTCAGTCCGTCGCACACAAAAAAAGAATCGCAACTCCACGTCAGGTCCAACACCCATATACACATAGCCCTACAAAATGGCGACAACTTCAACAGCCCAACCGGCCACAGACGCCGCCTCTCACCTCGACCTAGCCATTACTCTCACACTGAACAATTGGCCGGCCCTCTCACTAGCCGTGCAGTCAAACTGGGGCGGGCCCAACTCAAGCGAAAAGCGGGACTGGCTTTGCGGTGCAATCTCCGATATGCTGGCCGATCGACCCGAGACCGACGCCGAGGACCTGGAGGAAGTGCTTATCCAAGTGATGAACGATGAGTTTGACGTGGCGGTGGACGACGAGAGCGCTGCGGACGTTGCGGACTTGATCATGGAGCTGAAGGCGCAGACGGATCGCGGAGAGTTCGGCACTATCCAGCAGATGTTGGAGAAATTCCAGAAGAAGAGCCAAAATCGCTCTGCTGCGGGTCAGTTCCAAAGGGTTGAGGCTGCGGATGAGGATCAGGAGACGGACGATGAGAGCGAAGAAGGGGATGCCGAGATGGGTGATGCACCTAACTTGGTGCGGGCTCCAAGGGAGCGGGCTGAGCCCGAGATTGATGATGATGGTTTTACGAAGGTTGTTGGAAAGAAGAGGTAGATTTGAATTTTTGTTGAATATATTTGTTTTATTTCCCGTTCCCTTGGTGAAAACAGGAAGCCCTTGGATAGATATCCTTTTCTAGTTACATAGATGATGCATTATTACCGATGATTGATCCTTCATCAGATCTGGCTTGCCTGTGCTACCCTATATGTTGCTGGAGATAGCCCAAGAACCTGCAGACGGTTCAACCGCTTGGATTCATAGATGTAGCAAAGTCTATGTAAATGAAAAGAATGTGGAAAGCAAATGTTCATCATCGTCAGTTGTGGACTGTCTGTGGTATCATTACGCAACCTCTGCCCACCCGTACCTCCCTGTTCAGAGTTTCTCGCAAGCACATCGCTTTTCTTTTATGGTTGCACTTTTAAGAATATGGACATTTAGGTATCCTCGGTGGCAAAAGCACTTCACTGGGCCTCGGTCTCGGAAGTGATGAGCTTGGTGATCATACCAATAGCAATGGTTTGACCCTAAAAGTGATAGGTTAGCGGGGAAATAGAATCAGATAGAATTAGGATGAAGAAGACATACCTGGTCACGCAGGGTGAAACGACCTAATTGGTTGTATTCGTCGTACGTCTCGACACAAACCGCACCAGCGGTGCTGGTAACCTCGAGACGGGCAATAATGGTCTGGCCCTTGCTAGCGAACTGGGGAGGGCGCTTGCTCTTGCGGCCGGTGCCGGGCTCGAGCTTGTGAAGAAGAGAGGCAAAAGTAACCTCCTCGACGGCTGAGTGGACGTGCAGGACACAGTTGAAACCGGCTGTCAAAATGCTCTTCAGATCCAAGATACGAATCTTAGCCTCGAAAGCAGACACGCAGTGAACAGGGCGCTTAGGTGAGCAGAGCACGAAACCGGGGAAGAAATCTTCTTCTTCGATACCACGGAGACGCAGACGAATCTGGTCACCAACCTTGGCTGTCGGAATCTCTTCTTCTGTTTCACCGTACATAGCAGAGATCTGAACCTCCTCGCGGTTAGGCATCATGAGATAGGTACCATTCTTCTTAATGATACCGGACTCAATGCGACCCTCTGCCATGGTACCCATGTCACGGTATTTGGCGCTGATTGGCATCATGAATGGCGCGTTCACCTTACGCTCAGGGAGCTCGAACGCAGTCAGGTATTCGAGCAGCGACGGACCGTCATACCAATCGCACACATCTTTGGGAACTCGGTCCTTGATACCGATAGTGCGCTGGGCAGAGATAGGCATGCAGAAGATGTCCGACTTCTTGTAGCCCAGAGCTTCCAGGAACTTGGTGACCTTGATGGTACATTCATCGAACCGGGCCTTGCTCCATTCGACGGTAGGGTCGTCCATTTTGTTAACAGCAAGGATCAACTTGCTGACTCCAGTGTTACGCGCCAGAAGTGCGTGCTCGCGGGTCTGGCCACCTTTCTCGAATCCAGTCTCGTACTCACCCTTACGAGCAGAGATAACCAAACAACCGAGATCGGCCTGAGACGCACCACCAATCATATGAGGAACATAGGACTTGTGACCAGGGGCGTCCAAGATGGAGAATTGACGCTCGATATCACCCTCCGGGTGCGGGATGGTGACCTTGAAGAAGGCACGGCCAACCTCGACTGTCTTACCCTTGGAACGTTCCTCCTGGGTCAGATCAAGGGCCCACGAGAGGTACCAGGTCTCTCGACCAGCATCCTTGGCCTCCTTCTTGTATTTGTCCAGTGTACGCTCGTCAACCATGCCGGTGGCATGCAAAAGGGAACCTCCCAGGGTGGACTTGCCAGCGTCGACGTGACCGATGAAGACGACGTTAACGTGCTCTCTCCGCTCACCGTAAATTTCCTTTAGGGTTGCCTCATCAACATCAGCTTGCTGTGACTTTGCGACGGCATTAGCCTCGCGAGCTTGCTTGGCTGTCTCGCCGCGGGCTGGGCTGGAACGTCCAGGGCTAGAGCGGCCAGAAGACGGCGTGGGAGAAGACTTTCCAGTAGCAGCGGCCTTTTCTGTCTTGTCAAGGCCTTTGGTAGCCGCCACCTTTGAGCCTGCCTCAGCAGCCGCAGTGCCCTTAGTATCACCATTGGCCTCCTTGGGTGTGGTGTCAGCAGGCTTGGCTGCCGGAGTAGGAGTGCCGATCGAAAGGACTTTGGTCTTAGGGGCAGCACCGGAGGAGGTGGCGCCGATAGACAGAACCTTAGCCTTGGGCGGGGCAGCATTCGATGCGGGCTTGGGGGCGGACTGAGCCGGTGCTGCAGCCCGGGGTTGCTGTTGAGCCGCTACAGGCGCATTCTGGCGAGGTTGCTGGTTATAGCCACCATATTGCTGCGGTGCATTATTGTACTGGCTGAAGCCACCGGGCTGCTGGGCATAGGCGTTGTACTGGCCATAGGCCTGCTGATAGCCACCATAGGCCTGTTGTTGGCCGTACTGAGGGTATCCCTGCTGAGGATAGCCAGCATACTGTTGGTACGGCTGTCCGGGGACGAAGGAAGAGGCTCCAGGCGTGAAAGAGGCGGCGCCGGGTTGGAATGAGGGTGCTTGGGCCTGGGGGCGAGATTGTGCGTTCAGGTTAACGCCCTCAGCCTGTCGGGAAAGCTCATCCTCCCAAGATTCAGGTGTTTGGTTTGACATCGTGAAATAAGATCCAAGGTCGAATTAACACGAAAATACCAAACCAAGACGGATTTGGACAAGTACAGGTTGGGTCAATAAGAGGGGCCAGTCCACGCCTTTTGATTTTGCACAGGTGAATGACTAAGACCCCGCGATATATTTTTTTTCACGTGATATTGTATTGAATGCCCAGGTTCCGTTGCATGTGAGAAGGTGAATGAATATTGTTTTGGGAAATCATTCTGTTTGCTTATGACTATGACTTTCTCAATTATCAGATCTCAATACGTTGTCTTTTCTCCAAGGTTAAAAGCACAAGTGTCGGGGAGTTGCGCTCATCTTCTTTGAGCTTTCATTCGCTTATCGATAAGCACCCCTCCATGTCCGGTGGTTTACTGCTCAGGGGCCTTTTATATCGCCCGTCAAGACGATCTACACTACAAATTTAAGGGCCATTGGCCTTTAACTAGAACCACGATGGATACTTTTCTGACAGGGGTTTGTCTCATATATTACTGGTCATGGCGAGAAGCTAACTCGTGCATTTCATACAGCTCACCCGACAGGCCATGAATTATGCTATTCGGTATGCTTGACAATGACAGAAGAACGAAACCATTCAATGCTAAAAGCAGTCATGCAGGTCTGGAATTGCGATAACTGCCAGTTATGCAATGCGCCAGTCATCGCGCTTGCTCAAAGTAAGCGTTCCTTTTGGCTCCGGGAAGAAGTCAGCGCTGATCAGTTCCCTTTGCTTGGCCAGAATGTCAAGAGTGAAGACCGAGATGAGCTAGTCTCCTTACAACAACGCCTAGAAAGCAAGATACAAGTTATAGCCCCAGCTATTGACATGATTGAGTTGATGTGAGTCACCGGACATTGCGTTGGAGAACCAGAAAGCTCATAATTGGTCTAGCGCTGCTCGAGGAAATACGTCATTGGAATCTGCCGTCGCCCTCACAAAGTCTCTGAGATGGGACATTCAAGCCCTAGGACAGCGGCTTGGAAGGGCTGCGGCATCTGAAGAATTGAGACGCAAGGGAGGAAGCTCGTCCAGAGACCAGACGAACAGCCAGAAAGAAATCAAGCTTATTATCAGAGATATCAAGAAGCTGCTGGCTCGAATTGAAGACGCAGTGCCACTGATGAATCTCGCCATCACCACCTCTGGGGCTAAGTTATCCACCAACTTGCCCGCAACGGTGTCCCCATCCCGGCTTCTCCAAGCAAGCACGTTTCTCACAGCAGGGGATACACAATATTCAATGTCCCCGTCTCAAGCAGTCCAAGTAGGGCCAACTTTTACCTTATCGATGTATATGCTATTTGCCAGCCACTTGCGACCCCATGATGAAGAATCTGTCCGCGAAGCTACGTGGAAAGAAGTCATGCACAAGGCACGTTTGAAGCTGCGTCGCATTCCAATAGCTGCATTGCAGTCTCCAGTCCAACGCCCACGAATGAAACTTTCAGGACCAGCCGGGGCCGATGAGTACGCTTATCAAGTGCTGATCACCGAAGACCTAGATGATGGCCGAGTCCACACAATCGATGAAAATGATCCAAAGCCCCAAAACTACGAAGGCGTCTCCACGGCAGGCATCCGGGAGATCCTTCCTATTCATCAAATTTCAAAGATCTTCTACGCAGACACCGGGAGGATCCTCAATATCAGCACAGAGGGCGAAACAAACAACCCGGTGCTGTTGTTGAAACGGGACCTAAATGCTCTCCCGCCACGCCGCATGATGGAACGTGACGAGGTAGAGGAGGACTTCCCTCAAGCAGAATCCGCGGAGGAGCCAGACGACGAAGACCAAGCTCAACTCGACGCACAGCTGAACGGAGAGTACACTCGGGAAACTAGCAGCTTCGATCATCTGCATGAAGACTCCATACCCGAAGAATGGCGTCTGCCTCCCGGCCTGGACCCAGAATGGATCGCATTTGAGGTTTATAACGAAGATGAAAGCTCCGATACCGAGTCGGAAGCTGAAAATCCCGAATCCTCCACACCCGAACCCTCAGTCGACCCAAATATGATGGCCAAGCTGTCGCTTAATGAGAAGGGACATCCATCCCACTCCCCGTCACCCCAAAATCAGTCATTCTCATCCGCCGCTGCCACAACAACAGTCTCCAACCCTCACTTCGAGAATATCCGCACCTCCCTTTCCCTCCTCGAAACCCTCCTCCGCCTAACATCCCTCCAACAGTTCCAGCAACAATCCCACCTGTCCATCAGCGACGAGCTCCTCAACTTCTTCCTGGAAGAATCCTCCACCACCGGCGCTGGCGGCGACGAACAGCACCGCCAGCGGCTCCGCTCCGAGGCCCGTCGTCGCGTTGGCTGGGACCCCTACAATGAAAGCCCCGTCAAACACCGCGGCGAGGATTACCAGTACGGCTGGGAGCCCGGTAGTCCCCACCAATATGGCGACGATCCTTACTCGCCTAATGGGCGGCCGCAGGGCTTCCATCTTCGTTCCAGGGAGAGTACACCGGAGACCCCGGTGCGCAAAGGCTCGCCGAATGTACGTCCAAGTGGTCAGCATAGTACGGGACCTGCGTATACTAAGTCGCCCCTTTCGAAAAAGATAGGTAGGTCTCTGAATGATGGAAATGTAGGGTCTGGCACCACAGATTGAATGGGAAATTCATGGACTATCATGCCTTGTACATGTATTATGATTATGATTATGAGATAGCGAGTGCACTACAAGATCATTTTTATTTCCTACCTTGCGGACGAATCCTCTACTTGATGTTAAATTGTTCGGCGCTGCCATCACCATAACCGCCTTCGAATGTCGGCTAATGTTCTACTTAGGAGCTTAGATAGTCAGATTCCCCATGTTGAGATACTATGGAGATAGAAGGAATGACGTGTATTCAGATATCAACCGCATAGACAGATAGCATCGCTCGCTGAAAGCAAGTTGCAGAAAACAGAGCTGGGAATAGAACGAGAGAAAAAAGCCCGAAACGCCAAAAATAAAAAAAAACCCGACATGCCTAAACTCCAACGAAAGCAGATTCTTCAGGAGGCAATTGGCGGTGTTTAAGCTGGCGCACGCAGTAGCAAGACCACGCTCTTCGGGGGGTATATGGTATAGACAGACGCCCTCGGAACCAACTGGCGTCCTCTTGCTGATGCGTCCTTGAAAAGAGATGGGGGTTACTCCCAATCTTCGTCGCTGTCATCCGCCTTCGCAGCGGTGGGACTCTTTTCCTTGGGACTACCGGGCGTGCGGCTAGCAGCGCCACTCACAACATCGTAGCTAGATTCGCTGTCGGCTTGAGAGTGTAGGTCGTTTGACCGGCGAGGCTCAGCTTTCTGGGTTTCTTTGGTGGGAGCGAGAGTCTGCGAACCGGAGCGGACCTGTGGAGTAGAGGGAGACTGAGACTCAGAATCGGAGTCGTCATCCCAGCCGACTTCTTCTTCGTCTTCGGCATTGGCACCTATAGAGTACAACCGGTTAAAACTGGAAACAAAAATCACCAGATTGATGGGCTCAATATACCCTTCAGAAGTTCCTTGCGCTTCTTCTCCTCGGTCTCCACAACGAGACGCAAGAAATAGTAACGAGTCCAGAATTCCACGTATTCCACCTGCTCCGGCACGAGCTTCTCCATGGCCGAACGGAGCTCGGGGTATTTCTCCAAATCGGCGGCGATCTCATCCGTCTTGACTTCGACATTGAACTCATTTTTGAACGAAGGCCACTCGTCGCTGACCGGGTCCTTGCTGAAACTTTCCAGGTTCGAATGAATAACGTGCAGCTGTGCCTCGAACCGTGTTGCATGAATGACCCGCTTTCCCTCAGCATCCTTGCTCTCGAAAAGAAGCTTGCCAGCCTCATCAGTATCTGGCGGCAAAATGCTCACAGCCTCACGCAGCTTCTGGCCGATGTTCATTCCAAATCGCAGGATGGCTTCATCGGCTGCTTCCTCTGCCTTCTCAATCTCCTTCAGCCGCCGAGCGGCTTCGGCCTTCAACCGGGTAATAAAGCTTTCTCCACTGGCGCCAGCGCCTTCACCTTCTCCCTTGTCACTAGATTCTGCTCCTTCTGCGGAAGCCTTAGGCGTCGCGGTATCGTCATGTTGTCCCTCGCCACTGCCTGTCAAAGCAGCTGTGCTGAGAGAGAGCCCCTTGGTCCGGTCGACGAGTGTTTCCCTAAGATCTGAAAATCCTTTCACCGCTTCCTCGCTGGCAGCTGCATACTCCTGGCGAGCACCCTCATAGTATGTTTCTCCCTGCTTGCGTACATTGTCCCATAGTCCTCCAATTCGGGAGCCCCACGGACTGGCGGAGAAGGCACGGAAGGTCTCTTGTAGCTCATCGTTGAGATTGGCATTGGACTCCTGGGGCGTGGAGTCGGAGGGGGCTCCCTCTTTGTGGGAAAATGCCTCCTCCTGGATGTGATCGTAGGCGATATCCATGGTCGGTAAGTTGCAAGAGGGAGAAGAGGGTCAAGGACGAAGCACAAGGTTGCAGCTCCGCGTTCGTCCATGGCCCGACCGCCCCGCTTGTGACGATCCTCAAAACTACCTGTAACGTACATGCACATCGTATAAACACATTATCAAGGGAATTTTTATACAATAATCATATTTAATAATATTATAGGTGTTCATAAATCATAATCCATTGAATAATGACTTCGAAACAATGTCATCCTTCAGGTAAGCTATAAGGCTCTCCTACACTATCCTGGCTTCCCATCCAAAAGTTCGGGAGCGGAATGCTCTCCATGACGCTCGATGTAAGAAGCTGGCTCCGAGAAAGGACCAGGCCCTGCCGTTGAGGATCTCGATCCACCGCCTGCGAGGACTCAACTTGGACTACTGAGCCAGGAACACGAGGTCGTTGGAACGGACTATCGCCCGAATCGATTCCGTATTCTCGTTCCCGGATAGGCGATGACTCGGGAACCATTTCAGTAGACTCTTTGTAGGCTTCCTGGCTCTGTGTCTGTGCCTGCGAAAATGGCCCCGGTTCCTGTCTTCGAACAGAAGGCCTCCATGCCTCCAAATTCGTGTGCTGGCTACTGCCTCCGTGAGGGAAAAGCTCGGACATCTTCTGCGTATTCAGCGTTGGGATTGGCTCGTGCGGGAATTGTGTAGCTGCGTGCATTCTTTGATAGCATATTGAGGCATCAGACATTGGAGCTTCAGATGGAGGGGCATCATCCAATCCAGGGCTCGATTGCACAACTGGTAGAGGAAGTCCTTGGGAATCATCCTTAGGTGACTCTGGGCTATGTTGGGTCGCCTGTGACCCGTCCTGTGGACCCATTTCTCGGTGTGCTTTATTAGGAGATGGTGTCACGGAACGTCCATTGAGGTTTTCCTCAAAGTCTCCGTATTCCGAATCCGCATCCGTTTCATAAACGACTGTTCTCTCCCTCCTGGTGGGTTCACTTGTCGAGTTCCCATTTGCCTCGGTGAGGAAATCCTGGGAAGTTGACTCGGTCGGAGGTGCAGACGAGGGGAATTCCTCAGTAGTAGTTAGATGAGGATGGATCAAATTGCTATAGTTGCTTGGAGAATCAAGTGTCGGTGCCCGTGGTAAAGCTTCACCTCCAGGGTCTTGTGAATCCTCGACTACTCGCCGAACCTCCGGGGGTTCTTCTTTGATAGGTCGCATAAGATTATTCGTCGGGTTTAAGGGGTTCTGTTTTGCAGGAGAGCGAGTAGCGCTGCGAAATTGAGATGATGTTATAATAGCGAGACCAGGGCTTTCGGGCGTCTGTGAAGAAGGTATCTCGCGCGTCTGAAGCTTCCGCGGTGTAACAGGAGCTGCAGATGCCCGCGTGCCCTCATCTCCGCTTCCAGGATTCAACCCTTGAGCTTCTTTTTGCTGAGATACAGGCTCACCAGTTGACAGATCCAGCTCTTCGAGAGATCTGCGCTTTCGTTTGGAGGTCGGACGCTTCGTAGGCTGTGATTGGTTCAACTTATTCGTGCACTCTGTCTGTTCATCTTTTATGCCCTTCTTCTGCGGTGTCGGCTGGATATATCCCATGTTCACGTCGTCATCATCATCATCATCATCAATGGTAATGTAACGTCGTACGAAGTCCATCTGAGTTAATGTCTTGTCCCGCTTTCCCGCTGACTTCTCCAGAGATTTTCGCCCGCTCCTAGGACGGACACTCGCCCTTGGTGTCTCACTCTTTCTTGGCCCATGACTCCGGTGTGCATCTCGATCGGTAATTCCAGAGCTCCTCCGCTTCTGCGGGCGTTCCTCCGAAGCACGCTCTCGTTCGCTCATCTTGAATTTCGAGATACGAGCTGACCGAACTGGTGGAGCGGGGAGACAGTCTGAATCCTTGTCGGACCTATCATCTACATTTGGCCGCTCAATTGTGTCTTCAGCATCGTCGCGATGTCTGGGTTCGTCGATGTAGCGGAGCTGGTCATCATTCGAAGGTGTGGGCTGTGTCACAAAGTCAATTTGCGTGAGAGTCGATTGGACGCGTGGCAGCGATGTTCGCTTGCGAGCGCTTGCCGATGTCGATGACTGTGGTGACCGGTTCCGCGCGGTGATGCTTTTCGTGGCAGTTGTTGGAAGACCTCGTGGACTCGGTCTTCTTGGCGTGCGGAACTGATTTCGAGGAGTCTCTGGCAGGCTTCTATATTCATGCGGCTTTGTCATCGCAACAGCAATGGTTCAAGGCTTAGAAACATCGGACTGGGGCCTAAATGTAAATGATATGACGTTAGGGGAGAGATGCCTGAGGCGTTTCGCGTCGACGCGTCGCTAATATCGACTTGGTTCGTGCGTTATAGTTTCCACCCA